ACGTGGAGGCGCGGCTTGTTTTACAACGTCGTTGCCAAGCGACGAAAACCCTACCCCGATGGCAAACACGGGGGGGGGGCGGCGGCTTGTCTTACAACTTCGTTGCCAAGCGACGAAAACCCAACCACGATGGCAAACACCGGGTGGAGGCGCGGCTTGTTTTACAACGTCGTTGCCAAGCGACGAAAACCCAACCCCGATGGTAGACACCGGGGGGGCAAATATCGATGGGGGGGGGCTTGTTTTACAACGTGGTTACCAAGCGACGAAAACCCAACCCCGTTGGCAAACACACGAGTGGAAGATACTTTGTAGGGGGGTGCTCAAGAAGAGGCCAAGAATAGGCGCAAACACCCGAGGTCAGGCGCATTCGCCCCGAGAACAGGCGAAGGCGCCCTGAGATTAGGCGCAGCGGCTGGCTTTGAGGCGAGCTTTTAGGCGATTAAAATAAACCGTGTTTTTAGGTGCAAGCTGTCACAATTAGGCGTTTTAGGCGAGCGACTACGGAGCAGAAGCCTAAACATAGACGCCAAGTAGGCGCCAAGTTGAACAGAGACAGCTGATTGGCGGACGCCATGTTAAATCTGTCCCAGTGGCTTTTCTAGCTGCCCGATTTCGTGCCGGAGGTCTCTATTGCGGTCTTCAAAATCTCTGTTGTTCCCTGCCTCTTGCGTCTTCTGTTTGTGTGCTCACGCGCCGCTGCAAGCAGCCTAAAACGTGCGTTGGCTGAATGAGTTACTAACGCGACCTAAATAGTGTCAATTAGTAGGCATACGGTGCGCGTAAGCATGTTGTCTACGCCAGGATTGCACGACGATGTTCGATCATGCGCGCCGTTTCTTTCTTCTACACGGGGGCGCCGTCTTCCTTGTCTCCTAGAAATGTGTTTGCTCGGGGAACTTCAGACTAAGTTAGTCTACGTTCTTGAATCTTGAGTCAACTGGCTGCAACCGTACGAGCCGATGTGATCGATTCATGAACATTCATCTGCATCCGCATATCAACACGCACGCGCACTACGTGTATATAATGGTATCCAGCAAGGGCAATACATTCAACAATCGAGCGTTGGATTTCATCAGCCGTCTTACGGAGAAAATTCGGCGAACTGCAATAAAACAGCTTCCCAAGGCCGACGATACTCGTGGCGTTGATATAGACCTATAGGTGGATTTCCTACGGGCTGAAGGCTTACGGGATCGCAGGAAAGGGCAAACTGATCCTCTCGTGCTCCTAGAGCCCATTTTTCCAGGTTTTTCGCCCGTAGACCTCGCCTCGAAGCAAGACTTACACCTACCAATGGCCCTGTATTGCGAGGGCCCTCCCCACGTGCCGCACGCTCTCGAGGCAGACTGAGTGCAGCACTAGCGAGGGAAGAAAGTCGCGTCCCCGACATCTACCATACATCCACCAATCACGCCACCCCCGGCCAGTCGTGGGACCCCGACCCAAGACAGGTGCTTCACCACCTACAACGCCTCCCCGACACGCTAAAACCAGTACAATGATGACCCTATACTAAACCCTCTACACTAGGCGGCGCCTCGACTTCTTGACGGTGAAGGCTATTCATTCATTCGGCAAGCGGCTGACACCGTGTGTGTGCGCTGGCTACACGCTACACACCCACACCACACACGACAACCAAGCAACCAAATCTCCGCATGAATTACACGAGACAACGTAATCTACTGCTGTAGTGCGTCCCCCTTCCGATCCCGGCGAAAAGCAGGGGGGCTAGCGGCCGGTTCGGTGGGGCGAGCTGCCGGTATCGTGCGCACTGCTGTCTGCGCATCTACACGCGCCCGAGAACGAAAAACATGAAGTACGTTGTTTGTTCCTCCGTTTCCTGGAAGCGCTCTTTTTTTCGGAAATATCTTATGGACCGCAGATAGTTATTGGACGGTTGTAGAGCGGCTACGGGACGGCATGCTCCGCATTCCACCAACGGCAAAAGTTTTATGCACCCATGCCCTCGACAGACCGAAAACACCAGCTGCAGGCGAAAGAAAGGGAAGAATGTTCCATAGGCTCGAACCCCCCGTCGACCCTGAAGCATCATGCACACGTGTCCCTTAAACCAGCGACTACATTATTTTCAACCGCATGCACGTTTTGTGCATTTAAACTCCAGATGCTCTGCTTTGGCAGGGGCACGAAACCTGCTAAAAATCCTGACGCTAACGCTAACCCAACCCCAAACCCAACCGATAGGTGCTAGGTGCTCGCTGGCTGGCTCATTTCTAGGTTGTTGTGCCTGTATTAGGGCTAGGTTGGTGTTGACGGGGAAAACTCTGAAATGTTACCGCTTAGATAGGTGCTAGATTGGTCGTGACTTCGCTAGGCGCTAGGTTGGTGGGCCTTGGAGTAGAGTTAAGTCGCTTTTGAGTGGTAAACGGTGTTCGTGCACGTCTGTACAGGCGGGACTGGCAAGTCATGGGTGCATGGCTCATGTGCGTACCCGTGCGGGTGCACATATTATTCCCCCCACCAACACACACCAAGATACGTACTTCTACAGGCATCTGACTCCCAAAACCCTCTGGCAGAGCATATAGCAATACTGCTGCTGTGGATCGCCATATTTTCTTTTCATGAATCGGCGAAGATTATCTTATTTTGTCTGCTTTTGCTTACTTCACCACTGTAGCAAGAGGGCACGTGGATTCGAATACGTGAAGCACACCCCCAAACTGGATTAAGAACCAGATCAGGGGGAGGGGTGGGTGGGCGGGGGTCTGTAATATACCGCATACAAAGATATATGTGTGGTATTGTATAACCTATATATATTCTTTTGTAGCATTTACGATGCACATGGCTATTCGAAACCTTGCACCTCTCTTACTATGATTATACTTGCTTTTTAGTGTAGGTTTAGACCACTGCACGTTGTGAGGACATTGCATTAAAATTAGTGCGGTCTAGTAAAACAGTTTTTTGATGCTGCTGCGGCAGTGAACCCCATCTTCTCAGTAGGGAACAACAGACACGGTGCGTGCTTATTGTTACCCTTGCTTGCTGTTGCAGGAGGACCACATTGATTGATTGACTGCTGCTGCTTGAAGGGGCTACAAAGGAAGGTCTGGGATTTGGTGTGGTCATATTTATCTCTCAAGGATTTGGGCATACTTAAATGTCACACTACATAATGCCTAATCATTTGGAATATATAGGCATTGTCATATACGTTCGAAGTCCTACACAATAAACCCCTTGATCAAACTGGATTAAACGCCTGAAAAATGGGTGAAGGGGTGAGGGTGTGTGTGTGCGTGCTTCACGCATCTGAATCCACGTGCCCTCTTGACTGTAGTACACACAACGTGGCAAAAACTACGGCATGTAATGATTTGCTTTTCCTCGCCTACTACCAAACTCAACCCCGACTCCCACGACCGACGGCTGTACATCAGATCACAAACGAAGACCACACACCCTAGAAGAAGCGAACTTTATTCAGCTACAACACCTCCCTGAGGGGTTGATCAGCACATGGGAGAGGGGGAAGAGAGAGAGAAAAGAGGTGTTATGCTTGAATTTTGGTGTATATTTCTTAGTTTCATTACTCGACACACAAGCTCCCTTCCGCCTCCAACAACATATTGGTGAGATGGAGCCTCGATTACGAGAAGAAGTCTCAGAATAATATTAATTAGCGAGTAAACGAAGTAAGATCAATCGTTTTAAGTTGCAGCGGTGGTGCGCGTCTGACACACAGCAGCATCTGTCCTGCCCATCACCGTGGCGTCCTCACGCACTGGTGCAGGCAAGACCTGATTACTCCACAGCACATGTGTTGCCCTCGAGGCAGCAGAGACACACCAGACGGCAGGTGGTGAAGCGATTTTCTTGTTTCGGACATTCATTTTCATGCAAGTTGCGACAGCACACACAAACTCCTGAGCACATATGCACAGCACACACACACGTGAGCACTTATGCTTATCACATGACACAACAACACCTTTCAGCGTCCGAACGTCAGAAGATAACATGAAACAGGCTCCAGCTGTCGAGGACGGCATGAACGGGGCTCAAGCCGTGGTGGTGCTGTCACCAAGGCCATTTGTGGCCAGCAGAGAGTTTGCGTACCTGGTGCACACGGCAAAAAACTGTTTAGTTGAACAAGCTTTTCGCGGAATAAACACAGGCCTTCGGTGCTAGGGTCGGTGCTGCTGTATGTGAGACGTGCATCTGGCCTTGCCGCACCCTGTCTTTTAGAGTGTCTCACGTGGTGGGTGTTCAATCCACACATTCGGAAGATCGAAAGGGGGATGTCCGTTTTACCGCCAATCAAAGGCCGGTATTCGAAAAGGCTGTTTGCTGCCATTCCGAATCGATGGTAAAAGCCTTGCACTGGTTGCACAGGATTGCCAACAGTGCGTGAGGGGATCTCCCGTTTGTGCGAGTTCATGCGGAACGGGTCAATTACAAGTACGCTGGTTGTGAATGGGAAGAATACATCACAAGTCAAGTTGGTGTTCCGAGATTGGAGGAAATTGAATTTGTGCAGATTTCTGAGATGAAATTTTCTGACAATCTATTGACAGGTCTGACAGGTGGATAAGGTTTAAATCGGACAATTATTTCAGCTCTTCTTATTGCTTGCAGATGCAAACAACACATCCGCGGAAGAGGCCGCGCCAAACGCGAGCGACTCTTGCGCATCACACCGCGTCACCATGACTGCCTAGCCCCGCCCTACCTAGTAGGAAGGAGTGTCCCCAATCTCATGGCTTGATTGAGGGAGTGAGTGCACGCCGTCGTCATAGCACGAAAAGGGGTGTGGAAAAGTGTGGGGACGAGGTGCACGACAAAACCGTCCGGACAAGTCTGCAGACTCTTCTGTGCTGTTGGCCGCAAAGTCAGAACTTGATATAGTTCACCGATCACCATTTTCGATCACATTCCGAACATCATCAACCAAATTGGTGTGACCGCAATGCCTTGCGCATCACCATTCCTCAAAGTGAGACGACAACGGAATGCCACACCATCCTAGGTATTTAATCGTGCAATGAGCCTCATCATGGCTGAACCTACGCGGTTAGATACTGAGGTGAGCATGGATACCGGACAGGCAACATCGAGTTTTGTGGACTGCGTTCGTATCCCGATCAAACACACAAGAAAAAACAACGAGCGAACGGCGAAAAATAACAGACCAGAAAAATCCCCCTTGGTACTTTCGTCAGTCGCATCATCAAAATCGGCTCTTTGCAGGAAAACGCCGACGAGAGAAATTGCACGCAATGCACGAAAGGGGGAAGGCGTTGACGCACGCACCGATGGGAAAGCAGATCTAGATAACGTCAGAGTGCTTCGTATGCGACGCCCAACTCGACATCACCGACTCCAACTTCAATCGCGGTGACCGCGGTCTCAGTTCTCGATGGGCAGTTTTTCGCGTTGTGCCTCTTTTTCCCGCACCTCTAGCAAAGCTTCTCTGGGCATGCACTCGCATAGTGGTCCCCATCACAGACGTAGCACTTGACTTGCTTGTCGCTGGCTGAATTCGCCTCTTCGTCACCTCGGTTCTGTTTCGACCGTTTTTTGCCTCCCCCCTTCCCCTCTACTGCTACGAACGCATGATGATTCGCTCGGCGATCACTCTTCCCCTTCTTTTCCTCCGCTTTCAGTTGCCAAGCCCGTGTGCGTAGCACTCTCAAAATCTCTTTCTCATCGAGTGTTTTCTGGGTAAGCAGCTGTTGCTTTTGAATCTCAAATTCCGGCGAAAGCGCATCGAGGAACCGTGCATATACGAGCATTGTGTGGATGCGTTGGTCAAATGCCAGCTCTAGGTTGGTCACTACGGATTGGAACTCCTGGAAAAACACGCGGGGGTCCTGGTTCTTCCCCTGTTGGGCGTTGTAAAACTTACCGATCAGCGAGATCTGCTCGCCGCGGGTTGACGGGGTAAATGTTTCTTCCAACCCACGCCACGCTGCCGAGGGCCCCTTGCGATCGTAAACCAGCATTTTCGTGGAAATGTTGGAGATCGCTCCGGTCAGCATCCCCCACAGATTCCGGTACATGGCTATCTCCCCTACTTCCACTCCCTGCTCTACCATGCCATCATCGTCTACGCCTAGAACCACAATGTCCCTTTTGTCACTCAAGGCACGACCCATTCCACAAGTCTGCACCTGCGTAATGAAATCGTTTCGAAACATCAGCCAGTTCTTTTTGTCTCCGTCAAAGTCCAACTGTTTAAGGCGTGACATCCGGGCATGCGAGCTGAAAGCATACCGTGAAGCTTGCTCCTCTCTGCTGACTCCTTCTCGCGAGTAAGCCCCCTCGGGTGGCGAAGGCTCTCGTGGTTCCGGGCCTCGCAGTCCTCTCGCTCCCTCGAGCCCTCGTTCGGTATTCGACGCTTGGTCCAGCTGACCCGCGCCAGGGAAGGCGTGCGTCCTCCCCAGTGACTCCCCCCCGCCGCCCGCTGCGGTCGCACTTCCGGCGGGCGGTGCCCCGGGCACTAACCGTGGCAAGGTGTCCATGATGCCCTCCATTTTCTCCGTCACCATCTTCTCCAGTCTGGTGCTGGCGTCGCCCACGGCGTCGTCGATGGCCGTCCTAAGCTCCGCGTGAGTCGGGCCGGCCTCGCCCCCGCCAAAGTTACCAGGGCCTTTCGTAGACATGTTGTGTGTCTCCCGCACTAGACTATGGCGTTAACGCCACAAAAGAAACTCTAGAGTGTTGATTGGCCCCAACCCGAGTGCTGCTGGATAAGCACGGCTGTCCCGGTTGACAATGTGAAGAGATGGTGAAGTCGTTTTATTGCTCGTCCTCGTAGACACAAGCAACGGAAGAGAGAGGGCACCAGGGCGCATCACAAACACCGAGGCACACGAGCAACAGTCGCGTGACACAATGCGGAACTCGGAACACATGAGAGCACGGAACGAACGCGTGACAACTTGCCAAAGATACCACTACCGGAGCTACCCCGAAGANGCGTGAGTCGGGCCGGCCTCGCCCCCGCCAAAGTTACCAGGGCCTTTCGTAGACATGTTGTGTGTCTCCCGCACTAGACTATGGCGTTAACGCCACAAAAGAAACTCTAGAGTGTTGATTGGCCCCAACCCGAGTGCTGCTGGATAAGCACGGCTGTCCCGGTTGACAATGTGAAGAGATGGTGAAGTCGTTTTATTGCTCGTCCTCGTAGACACAAGCAACGGAAGAGAGAGGGCACCAGGGCGCATCACAAACACCGAGGCACACGAGCAACAGTCGCGTGACACAATGCGGAACTCGGAACACATGAGAGCACGGAACGAACGCGTGACAACTTGCCAAAGATACCACTACCGGAGCTACCCCGAAGATCCAAATGACGGATGGACGGCCACGTACTTGCGCACTGACATAGCTCAAAACCACACATGAGTACTACCGCAGTAGCCTTCGAAAGGATGACATAATCCACCTCACGAACACAGCCCGTCGTCGTGACACGGTTCGGGGGAAGAGCGTCACACGAAGACACGAAAAGTGCGTTTGGATAAGTTGATACTACTGTGGTAGCTGTGTGTGGTGCCTACATAGAGCAGTGAGTGTTTCTGGCTAGCGTGTGGCTTATCCTTAGCAGTGTGTGTCTTTGGCTGGTGTGGGCGACGTGTCGGTGCGATTAGTACCTGTGGCAAACATGGATTTGTACTTTTTTCTCTACTGTACCGCTGTTGTCGTGCTGTTGTGAACATCAGTGATGAGTACCAGTGTTGACACTCATGGTTGTTGTACATGAAAAGCCTGCGTGGCTTTCACTCGAACAAGTATGCTTCGTTTGTATGTGTGTTAACACTCATGACTGCTGATACATCCAACAAACATGTGCTGTCCTACATACAAAACCGTACACGTAGATTGTCCGTCTTTGCGCGCATCGTTGCAGACGACTGCTGTAAAAGTTCTCGATTATGTATGATACGTCTGCACACTCGTGGGTCCTGCTGCTGTGCGTCCTTACATAAAAAATTGCCAAAACACCGAAACACGTGTCGACTCGTGTTTGCAGGCCGTGTGCAATCAAAACTGCAAGAGAATGTTTAGTAATTTATTTTACTCAACCTTCAGCACAGCCTTTGACTAGATATTCCAAAAATACTTATGTGTACTCAACAGCATGAGTAATGATTTCAAATATTCTCATAAATATTCAGGAGATTGAGTATATTTCAACACTACACACGCGTACTCAGATAATCGAGTATTTCACACAACCTTGAGTATATGCTTCATTCAGTAAGCAAAAAATACTCAACTTTAGCTTAAGCTTCGAGCAATTTTTTCGAAAATACTCATCCGTGCTCAAGTGTTTGAGTAAGTATCTCCAAACTACTCACGCGTACTCAGATAATCTAGTATTTTACTCAACCTTGAGTATATGATTCAGTAAGCAATTCAAAATACTCAACTTCGACTAAAGCTTTGAGCAAGTTCTTCGAAAATACTCATCCGCGCTCAAGTGTTTGAGCAATACTTACTCAAAATACTTTACCAAACCGTTGAAAGACTCTACAATACCCTCTTTCTCTGGGACGCGATAAGAATGTATTATGTGTGTGACCCCACGCCATTGGCTGCAGTCTGTGGATGTCATCGGCTCACCATAAAGCCTCCCTTTGGCATGCGTTCTTGACTGGTATCGGGTGACACACGGAGCAAACACGCGGTGGAACAAGAAATAGTTCAAACGCTCGCAGCGGAACACACTTTGGTTCACGTTTGCAGGTCGTGTGCATTCAAAGCTGGATAAAACGCCACTGGAACGGGAGCAGAGGGTACGTGTACGACCACACGCTATTGACTGCAGGTTGTGCATGTCGACGACCAAAAGCCTCTCTCTGTCGTGCGTTTTTGACTGGTCGCATTTGCATAAGGAGGCACAAAGAACGGCGCTATTCAGCCAAAAAGCACTAACGTCAGCAGAGCAACGCGGCAGGGTTGACGTTTTTGGTTGTTGTGCGGTCAACACAACGCAGAACTCCGTGAATTTTACATCAACCTGGTTTGTGCATGACCTCATGATGCTGGCGTCTGTTTGGCAATAGACGGTGTACTTTAGAGGTGTAGTTCCTCGTTCAGGCACGATCGGGGTGTTACCAGGGTGCGCCCCCCCCCTCATTTCTAAGCTGGAAAACATCAGTCGATCCAGCTTAGATAATAAACCTATTTTATTACTCGCCAGCTGGAATGCTAGTAAAAATTCGACCAGTTGGATTTTGGGCTCTACAAATTCGCCATTTTCCTTCGTGTAAGATGCGCAAAATATTATTTTGGGCTGTAAAAAGGACCCCCCCCGAAAAACACAAGACTCGGCCTGAGTGATTTGGTGTTTTAGCAGGACGCTTTGATTGAGTTTTGCGAATTGGACAGGTGGAGCATGCGAATTAAATGGACATTTATTTGCCATTTATGGGTGTGATGCTATTTTTCAGACCGATTGCTGCTGATGTGTTTCAGGTTTGGACGGTATGTTTGAGAGACACCAGGGATGAGGCATACCGAATCTCCAAAGAAAGTTTTGGTGTGACTCACCATACGAGGAATATGAACATGTTGGCGGAACTACGTCGTATCTCTCACAATGTTTGAGCTGATACGGCACTATTACGTCATCATATTAAAGACTTAGCACTTATCCTACTTGTAGTTGCTGCTTGGTGTTGGCGTCCCTGCTGTGTCGGGGTACATTTTCTATCATTGCTGATATTTAGATCATGCTTGATGCCAAGTCGAGTGTTCGTTAGCTTTGTTGGTGTTTTGGCAGCTGCTTACCTAACACAGGTGTAATTTATTTAGGCCGAGGAAACATCTACGTTTGTTGCACGTATTGTCAAGAGTACTTGCGTCGCGTGGGCGTTCTTCATTATGATGAGGGTGGTCAAGCTTCCAAAGATACCTTTGGGAACTCACGTTTGTGTGAGGTGTCCGTCTGCTTTCGCGAATGTATAATGCTGTTATGCTTGTTATGGCTTAGGCGATGTGACTGTTCATATGCGTAGTGCGTTATCATTCAATGCTCACGGTTTGTCCGTGTTTTGGCTTGTGGTCAGCGCCCAGTTTGTTATCAAGCTTATCGGGTTCTAAGAAGTAGCGATGCCCTTTAGGGGCACTATGGATAGGGATCTGCTAGGGGCCTAGACATGGTAGTTGAAGATGATCATGTTACCCCCTTATTGTCCCATCAGGGGGCCTACCTTGGCATCTGCATATAATATATTCTCCTTCTTGTTTCCCTTCTACCGCCTTCTATGGAGGCTTAGGGGACTAGCCTCCCCCCTCCCATCCTGAGAAGGCTGCTATAGGGGGTCAACGAAGGGAATATGCTACTTCATAGATCGCGCACCACGAAGAGGTCGTTGAATCCCGTCTATCGCTGTGACGCTCCTCCCGAACGCTAGAGACTTGGTAGCTTCCCCCCCGGTGCAGCGCAGAACAAACCAACACAGCTCCGCTTTCGTGCTGTAGACACGCCTGAACGAAGTGTTTATTGCTGGCGCCACAAGCATTTATTTTTGAGTCTGTCTGATCCCGGTCGGCCAGCCTGAGATATCGATAGCTGTAGACAAGTCTGAAATCAGGAAGGGCCTAGGACCAGAATGCTCCCTCCGCGGCCTCGGGGGGTGGGTCTATTCACCTCCTCGGTGATGGTGAATAGAGTCAACTATATGAACTTCCAGGAGTCCCTCTCTCTCTCTCCGTCTATCTCGCTCTCGCTCAATCTCTCTGTTCTGCTAACATGCCGACCAGACACATAGAAACCAGTTTTTACCATATAATAGACATGGAGATATTCAAAGGGCGGCTTCCCACCGTGACACTACTGCTAGCCAGGTGCGCTGCGTCCACAGCACTCGGCGAGGCAACGAATACGCAAACACGCCTCCGGAGTCCACTTCTCGACGCGTACATGCGATGTAGTTACCTCTGCTGCTTGAACGCCCGAAAAAAATCTGGATCGATAAACAGCTCACGGCTGTCCATTGAACCTGAATTATGGACAAGCGAGCGATATGCCCTTCGTTGACCCCCTAGGGCAGCCTACCCAGGGTGTGGGTTGGGACGCTAGCGCTAGGCCCCTAAGCCCCCATAGAGGGGGGTAGAAAAGAAGAGGAAGCAGAGCATTATTTTCAGACGTCAGCAGAGCCTACCGGGATGGAACAACAAGGGGGTACTATCAACAGCCCCAAGTATCACGTCCGAGGCCCCCAGCAGAGCCATGTACACAGGGAAGATCTCAACCACTATATTCGGGATTCACGAGGCCCGCCGGAGAGGACAGGAAGGGGATAGTCAAGTCGCCTGAGGAACAAGCATGACTCCCTTCTACGCACAGGCACATGAAAGCCTCACAAACTTCAGGTCCCAAAAGTGTCCGATGAACTTAACTCTCCTAGTACCAAGTTGTAGCTTATAGTTGAAGGTGTGGACAGGGCTGCAAGGGGCCCAGATGTGGTAGTAGAAGGTTGATGGTACTCCCTTGTTGTCCCATCCCGGCGGCCTCGCTGCACGTATTGTACTCTGCCCTCTTGTCTTCCCTTCTATCCCCTTCTACAGGGGCTTAGGGGCGTAGTATAGCCCCACCCATTACACCCTGGGGAGTCTGCCCCAAGGGGTCAAGGGAGGGAATCTGACTGTCTGTCTTGTCCATGAAGCCCCGAGGGACGTAGGCTAATTTGGCTTGAGTATGGAACGTGTCCCCAAATGCGCAGGGGATACTTTCTACACTGAAGTCAAGCCAGCAAACTTTTCCAGTACTATTTCGGCCGTGTACAGTTTTACAAACAAGGGGACGCATGGCTTGAAAGATTGTGTAAAGCAGCAAGGTCAGAGGCCCAGGAGAGGCACACAGGCATCGAAGCAGCCGTATATCACACAGTGTACCACCTCACGCAAGCATGCTCGACCAAACTTTCCCACGCTCGTTTCACGCAGCGGAACATAGTGGCTACTACGGTATGGTAGACAGGCATTTGAGTGCTGTCCACAAAGTGACCCCATGTGAGCTTCCAGTACTAGAAGGGTAGACTACCAAATGTACAGCAAGAAGACATGCCAACACCACCCAGCAACAATCTGAACGAGGGAAGGCGTTCGGATTTCATGGATATTGTATTGATTATGCTATATCATGACAAAACGTAGTACAGAAAGGCATAGGTAAGCATGCCGCCACACGCCAACCCCGATGTAGAGATACGGCATGCAAAATACATGGTGCTCTTGAGATGGATAGTCCAATCCCGCGCCACCTTTGCAATACGGCCAAGTATTTGTCATGACGCCAAAAAAGATCAAGCTGATTATTGTCTACTCCGGTGGCAATCACCTTTGGGGACATTGTGGACTCAGCGTACCTGGGTAGCAGTACTTCATAGTGGGGAGCCGCCCGTTGTATATCTGCATGTCTACGATATGGTAGATTAGGGTTTCTATCTGTCTGGTCGGCATGTTGGCAGGACAGAGAGATATATGGAGAGAAAGAGAGACAGAGAGAGACTCGTGTGAAAAACATCATCACCAAGGATTCGAATCGACCAGCCCCCCGAGGCTGCGGGGGGAGGAGTCTGGTTCTAGGCCCTAACTGATTTCAGGCGTGTCTACACGCGTCACTGCCGCCCTACAGCGTCCATGTACGACACCGATACTGGCTTGTCTATGCCAATTTGAGTTCTAAAACCGGACCTATATGATGTCTATCGTATATTTGTGCGTTCTGAAATAAATGCGGCTCATATGATGGTGTGCATGCACGTACGTAATCCTTGGCTTTTGGGTGAGGCTCGTTTTGGAGTCCCTCTGAAAGTCGTGGTGTTGCTTGTGTCAACGCGGTGTGTCAACGTACTGCACGGACCTGTAGACGCAGCGCACCTGGCTGGTAGTGGTTGATCGTGGGAGGATGCCTTTGGATATCTGCATGTCTAGGATATGGTAGTTGGAGATGTTCATTGTACCCCATTGTTGTCCCATCAGAGGGGCCTCTATTGATGTCTGATGATCATAATACACTCTTACCATCACGAAGGAGGTGAATCGACCAGCCTCCCGAGACCACAGGGGGAAGGCACTGGTGCTGGGCCCTGCCTGATTTCAGTCGCGTCCACAGTTTTCGATAACTCAGGCTGACCGACCAGGGTCAGTCAGACTCAAAATGTTTCTTTTCCATGTGTGCTCTATTGGTTTTTGTCGAGTGAAGGCTATCTTGTCAAGTATTGATAGCATTTCTTCGCTAACTGCTTCATGTGTCCTCTCTCAGCATGTCGCGCAATGATTTGGTTATGGCGTGACTGAATATTGCATGTCGTAAATAAACCATGTCGATCGCGTTCGGGATCTCTTGACTAGTCCGCTGGCTGTATTTGAATTCTGTGACGTCGGCTTGTTTGACGATAATGCCGGTCATTGCGCCGTGTATCTTTGTGTATCGAAGTTTTCAACTCAATCCTGAAAGCGTTTTGTAACGGTTTTCAGCATTGCTTCGAGGTTTGTAGCTTCTTTTCATTGCATGCTGTTTGCCGTGTGTTGTCGTCGATCCACCGCGTAGGTTGTTTATTTGCGGGCGACCCGCCTTATTTAGTCTCGTGTGGTCGTCCATCACTTGCGTGTTGTTGTCAATAGTTGCTTCGCGTGCCATTCGCTGCTGGTAAGGGGCATTCTATGTTTTGCATGGGAGGTTGAACACTTTGCGCTGACTAATGAACTGGTGTGACATTAGTCTGGCATGATATCGCCGTGTATGGGTGTTTATCATTCACAAACATCGCTATAGTTTTTGTTCTTAAGTATTACCAGGTGCTTAAAATTTAAAATCAAGCTGATTATTGTCTACTCCACAGGTGGTAATAAGCTTTGGGGGCATTGTGGACGCAGCGCACCTGGCTAGTGGTGGTTCATCGTGGGAGGGTGCCTTTGGATATCTGCATGACTAGAATATCGTAGTTGGAGATGTTCATGGTACCCTCTTGTTGCCCCATCAGGGGGGCCTCTATTGACGTCTGATGATAGTAATACACTGTTTACCATCACCAACGAGGTGAATCGCCAAGCCCCTCGAGGCCGCGGGGGGAAGACACTGGTCCTGGGTCCTGCCTAACTTCAAGCGTGTCCACAGACCGCATGTGTTGGATATGCTGTGGCTTTGTTCCGCCGATGAAGCTGGATATGTTTCCATTTTGTCACCCACGTTCACGCAATTTGAGTTCCCGGGTGCCCATGTTGCTTCTGATATAATGTAACTTTGGTTTGCGTCGCATTTTTCTCACCGATCGTTCAGCCACGTTGACAACGACATTGTGCAGCGTTTAGCGAGTCGGACGTGGTGTGTTGGGTGTAAATCATTCATAAAGCTTGCGTTTGCGGGGTCTGTCTTTGGTAGACGGCACGAGCATCTCTGGTCGAGCATCGTCATGCTCTAACTTTTTCGCGAATAATTATCGCGTATACATGATTGAACATTGTCATGCCTAAAACGTTTTCTGCGAGCGATTTTTGCATGTTGTCGATCGTATTCAGGTGCGTGGGTTTTACAGAGCACGATGACGGGGGCGTCCACGTTGTGTGAGGCGAGCTCGAGTGCACTGGTGCCTGTGGGGGTTCCGCATGTGTTGAGTGATAGATTATGCTCATGTAGAATATGCGAGAGTGCGGCCGTAGCCAATCTAGCTAGTGTGGTGGTGCGTCACTTGCGTGTTGTTGTTATTTTTGCGTCGCGTGTCTTTCATTGTTGAATGGGGAGTTTTACGCTTTGCACGGGAGGTTGAACACCTGCACTGACTATCGCCTAGTTACTGGTGTTTATCATTAGCAAACAGTGCTTTATTGGCTGGAGCGAGAAATAGAGAGAGAGAGGGACTCGTATATTATGAAACACTCCGTTTACCGTCACAAGGGTAAGGCAGATTGTTCAGCTGTGTTTTTCGTCCTTCGAAGATGATACGGTGCATCGTCTTCTTGCCTCTCTACGGTACTCTTCGCAAGGAAGTTGACTCACGAGTCGCCCACAGCGGCACAGTCACGGCAAATACACGGTCCGCCCGGATCGTTTTTCATCATTCGATCATGCAGAGTCGTCCATTAAACAGTTTGTCCTACCGGGTTCATCTAACCATGTTCAGGGTATTATTATGGGCTTTCCTGTCCTGAGAACGTGTGCTCATTTACGTCGCAATCAAACAATCGATTATCAGCCATCACTGCTGGTGTAACTGCAGTTCATGCTGAGCTACACACACACTACCCTCCCCCCCCTCGGCCTGCTCCCCGGCCGGGGCCGAAATCGACCTAGTGAGTCCCTCGCGAGCGAACCAGACCACAACAGAAAGTAGGCGGGTGGTGTCCCAAGGTGCAACTCACCGCCGCGCTGGCTCAGCGTGGCGGTGAGGATGCACAGACGGTGGTAGTGGCGAAAGGTGTGTATGGGTACTGTTCCCGGGGCAGTAATGCAAAACGGCAAACTCCACCTGGCAACCACCGTCGCGGAAAGCGTGGCCTACGAAGCTGGAGGAGTACAGATATTCGTAAACACCACGTCAGTACGCACCGCTGGCGGGAGAAGGGAGACAACCGCGGGCACCGCGGGGAGGGAGTGCTGCACCCTCCTCGTCAAAACACCACAGGCAAGAACCGAGCTCTGCAGAGATGGATTGATGCGAGGAAACTCGCCGCTCGGAAAATACGGAAGCAAGCACACCCGCAACGCGAGGTGGACCGAGAGAGACACGAGACCGCAGCGGCCGTCAAGGCGGC